TGAAGATATGGTGTACCCTAGTTCCAAGTCAACACCCAGTGTCAATCCTAAAGCCAAGTAATCCTATAGGGATTCTTCTTGAATTCTCTTATAATGATCTTATCTACTAAATGCTAGAGGTTAAGATCATTATGTGGAATTTCAAGTTGAGTAAAAAGAATAGTTTTGAATTTCTAATGGTGGGGGTACCTTTTCTAATTTTCTAAGACTAGTCCATAGGAAAGTCCTATGGCTAGACCTAGGCTACTAAAGAAGTTTCTAGACCTCAACCAAAAGTGAGGTCAACATCTATTTGAATTTCTGTCATGTGATCTCCCTCTGGAATCAACATTCAACGCCGAACTTAAACACGAGGCCTCGCTAGAATCCTTCCCGCATACCTCCTCACCCAAAATCAAATCACGAATATCATCATATTTCATCTTAGATTTACTTGCAGAACTGCTAATTGCCATCATCATGGCTTCTCAGCTATTTGACAATGAAGCCAACAATATCAGCACACGTATCTCATCCTCAAAATCAATTTTAACAGACGACAATTGATTTGCGATAGTATTGAAATCATTTAGGTGTTGAGCAACATAAACACATTCCGCCATCTTTAAGTTGAATAACCCTTTCATCAAATACACATTATTATTCATCGATGGTTTTTCATACATGCCTGATAAAACCATCATAAGATCTACAGTAGTCCTCTCCTTGATGACGCTGTGGGCAACTGATCTCGACAGGGTTAATCGAATAACTCCTAGAACGTGTCGATCCAACAGATTCCATTCCGCCTCGTCCACTTTACCGATCGCTTTTCTATTAACGGAAGATGAAGTTTCTTTTCATAGAGTTAGTCCTCTATCTGCATCTTCTAGTAAACAAAATCTGTGTCATTGAACTTTCTCGATCCTCGATGTCATCACTTCGTCTCCGCCCATTATTTTTCCTTAGATCCGAACCAAATGCTCTGATACCAGTTGTTGTGAAAAATAACAGCAACAAAACGAAAAAAGAAAGAAGAAAAATTGCACGCAGGAAAACACCAGAGCGACACACAAATTTATGTGGTTTGACAAATTTGCCTACGTCCACGGAGCTGCAGATGATTTTACTACTTCGAGGAATTAAACCTTCGAGCGCCTCGACGTTTACAAGAAAGTCTCTATTTTCTTCTGTTCTTTCCTCTCTCTCTCTCTCTTTTCCTCTCTTTCTCTCTTAGAGGACTTGGCTTGACCCTTGCTTGGCTTGTGGCTAGGGCTGTCAAAACGGCTCGTTGTTCGCGAACAGCTCGTGTTCGGCTCGTTAAGAAGCTCGTGTTCGGCTCGTTAATTTTGTTCGATAAGTT